TCATTGCCATTTTCCCTTGGATTTTAAAACTATAAAAGAAATGCAAATTTTAATTAATTTAACGTCAAACGTATTTTAAGTAAAAGTTAGGTCATTGGACTTTAAATGTAAAAAGGTAAGCAATTGAATATATACACCAATAAAATTGGTTAAATGAAAAATAAAATCCGGTTTAATGGCACAATTAGTTATTGTTAAATTTTTTTAACCCGTTAGGCTTATGAAATTGAAAATCAATGATTTTACAGAATTACCCTTGGTACACCTTTTAAATTATTTAAAAAAAATTATGAAGTTGGTAGTTCTAAATAACCATGTGAATGCATATCAAGTACATCCATCTCTATAGATGACGTTATAGTATAATTAATTGGTGGATGATATAAAAAATTAGGATGTTACAAAAAATTAGAGAAAGGTCACAACAATTCATTTTGAGAAGGTTTCATTTATGGTTAAGAAATGCGGCTCTAAATAAAAATTAATAATAAGGTCTCTCTAAGCCGATTGTTTTTTAATATAATTAAAATAGTATCTTTTATATAAGGATATTTATTATTATTTAAATATTGATACTCTTATTGAATAATATAAATTAACACACTATTAGCTACAGACTTCAGTTTTGGTATTTTTGACAAACTTATGCTTTGGATACTAACCACTTTAAATGTCTCCAGACATAATTAAATTCCTGTGTGCTTGTAATAGTGGATTATATTTACAGCCTATATTTCCTGGAATTATTTCAATTTACATAAGAAATGTAATTTAAACGTAAATTTTCATTTTTTTACTTTAGGGACGTTTGGGTAACCATAAAGTTTGGTTAGGAAACGTTCTAAATTAACATGACTATGTCCAGGGATCACATTAGTTGTTTATTCATCATGTAAAAAGTTTAAACAAAACAAATGTAGGGAAAATCTTAAATTAATAGGTTTTATAGGCTATCTACTGGAAAACGGCAATAACCTTTCAATAATTAGGGTTATCGTTCCTGTTTGACTAAATAAAATTGAATATTGAGTAAAAATAGTAATTAAATTAGTTTTTTACTCTTTGCTTTGTAGAAAAAGATTTTTTTGCATTATTTATACAAAACAAAACAACCGGTTAAATACTATAGAAGAAGTACCAGTTACAAAAGTAGATGGTCGGCGTAAATTCTTTTCGAACAACACCATGAAAGTTTAGAATAATGTATACTCATTTAGAATAATAATTGAAGTGTTGGTGGATTTCCTGGTCCAATAATAAATATTACTCGTTTCGACTGTAGAACTTATATATTTTAGCATCAATTCTCAAGCGGTTATAAAGTTTATTTTAATAATTAAATAACTTACGTCATCAATCCATAAATTGCTGTGGAGTACGCGTTTCAACCATCAGGTCATCCTCAGCTCCACTGTCACTAGGTTGAATTTGCTTCTATGTTGCTTTGTAGCAACAGCGTCGATATATTAAATAAATAGTCCAAACACATGTTACATTTAACACACATACACGACACATACGAAACATTTAGATAACGAAATACTGTGATAACACCGTGCGCACGGCTGGACGGGCTCAGGTTTTCAATTTAATTATTTTAATTTATTATTATTTAAATATTTGATAACTCAATCCGTTGTGCTACAATCTCAACATTATAAAGTTTATTTTGACAAAATGTATTCAACACACATAAGTAATTATTCACACACATTAAAGATTATTCATTAGTATGTTAGTTGAAGTAAATATGCGTACTTTAAATAATGGAAAACGATAAGGTTTTTGTATTCATTATCAGTTAACTTAAAAATTAAATTTGACACTCTATTGTTACATTAAACAAACCCCCCTTTCGTTCAAGCACAAATTTTTACACATAATCATTTTTGTAAGTACAGAATAAATTTAAGAATATTATTAAACCATGAACAAATATTTAATATCAGGTTCATTATAGTTTCTTGCTGTTCTTGATTTACAAAACATCTTAAGCTATTTGTATGAAACAAACACAATTACAGTGTAATGACCAGGGGGGTTGAAATATCTCTGACTCGACAAGAAACTGAGCAAAACCAGAAATAGCTTGGACGGCCACAGGGCCAATGCGTCAATTAAATGAGAACATTAATACTATTTTTTATGTATACCAACTTTACTATGGTCCAATGGAGTTACACGTTTCAATTCAGGAAAATCTATTGCTAACTAAATAAAAGAATATTAATAAACTGTTTGTAAACCGACAATAATAAAAATTATTGAATATTAGATTTAAATAGTAATGTTTTCTATCCATCTTAAGGTTTATTTTTATTTAGGTACTACTTTTATGTAAGGACGGGCTACTATAGGTATTGATTTGTGAGTCTTGGCAAAATATTTATTATTTATTTCACTCCAATATGAAAAGTTAAGCAAATCTTTCTAAAGTTATGACGTAAAATATTTTCTTATAATTGCAATACGGTACGAATAGAGTCAATTGTACTTTTAATGGGTTTATCACTACGTAGAAAATATATACACAAGATTAAAGAACTTAAACAAATTATCTCATTGCTGCAACACATAATACCAATGTCTTTCAAAGTCCGATAAGTTCGCAGGCGATGGAGGGGATTATTATCACAGAGAAGCTCTAAACCCTCCTGTCTTCAAGTGATCCTGGCCTTGTATTGCGAACCTTCTTTGTATATCTGATATCAAAAAGATATAGAGAAATCACTAGCTTTTATAAGTCTTTTTAAAAGTCACCAATTCTTTTCTTAGCAACTGTTTTTCTGTTAATATTAATTACAACAAAGCCGTTCAAAAGTTATTGCATTTATTAAAATCAACTATTTCCCCAAATATAAACTTATTAGCTTACAGTATTACGATCACTTAAATTTAATTACCATCATGAGTATTATTTATTGCTATTTACAGAGTTTTATTACAGTGCAAAACATCAAGTAAAATAACAGACATGTATGCATTCAGTCATATAATTTATTATTATGACCTACCAAGTTTGGTAGATAATTTCATTGTTTTTTTGAAGTGATTTTCGAGAGTTTTCTATATTTTCGTACATTTTGAACATATGACTTGTATTTTTTTACTCATGAAAAATATATCGTATAATACCATTAATGTTAAGAATGTATATAATTTATCATCATAATATATTGGTCCTAACATAATGTGGAGAAGAATACTTTGGCAAATAGTATTAGTACACAGTTTTTTGTTTTGTTTCCTGTAGCTTATACAGTACACTGTTACTTAAAAGGAACGTACTGAAAAAAGAATTTTTTTCTTTCCTTTGACCTATTTTTTGGCCAACATTTTTCAATACATTTTCTCTACTCCCCTCTAATAATAATTTTATCTTCTCAAGGGGACCTTCTCACTAAGGGACGTTCCATTGCCCCTTTATGGATACAACCTTTATCGGGTATGATTTCCAGTAGAAATAGTTGTAAATGTTGTACTTCTATAACTTGTTTAAAAAAGTACTTTGATTTACAATTATTAATTTAGTTGTTATTACAATAATTATTTGTGTTATTAAAGATTTCATTTATTTATCTTGATCCTACCCCAAGAAGGACATAAGATGAGTTCATCTACATATAAAAATAAATTAAATATTACATGTATATTGCATTTACCAAGTAATGTTTTAATGAATTGTATTTCAGCAGTGTCGAAAATCAATTGATTGTTCTAGTACAAAATTAATAAGTTCTATCACATTAAAATCACAAAAATAACAAAATCACATCACATGTAGTATGGAAAAAATGAGTTTATTTCTTCTTGTAAAACGTTTTAACGAATTAAATATTTAACTATTTTTGATTACCTCTGATGACAATTAAATTATTTTACTATTGAACATTGTGATTGCCGGGATTCTGTACCATTGTGACAGACTGCACTTGCATCCTGAACGATATAGTTCTACCATTCAGCTGAGTTGTACACAATGCATTGTGCTGTTGTGTTATTAGAAGAGAACAAATCCAGCTTTCTTTTCAATCATTGTTCCACGTTGTCATTGTTAGCAGAAAACAAACGTTTAATGACTCTCAGGGGCTGTTTTTGTTTGTTCGTTTTTGCAAAGTAAGCGCTAATGTTCATACCAGTATTTAAATTGCCTTTTCACCACACTATCATGTTTTTGGCTGTATTACATACGTTAATTGGTGGCCGAAAGTTACGTTTTGCTGGCGATGCCAGCTGTCCATAATTTGGGGACCGAGCAGGTTTTTACAGGCCGGGGCCGCAAAATCAGCTGTCCGCTTACTTACTTAAAACATGAATGCATTTTAAATACATAATCAAAATCCATAGCATTTCAATAGAATTGTGTTATTGTCACCGTTGCCTAGCAACTATATATTTTTATTTTTGCTGATTCCTCAAATTATTTCTTCACATAACCTTAAAGTTGTAGTTGTGTTGACTATCAGTGTGCATTATTATTGTGGTGAATAGTGGTAATAGGGTATAGTGTGGTGAAAAATAGCGTTCGTACCACAGACCGAAATGGTTTTGCGGCTCTCGATCGATTTAAGTTCTCGACTTCGTCTCGAACTTAAAAACTATCTCGAGCCGGCAAAACCTCATTTTCGGCCCTAGGTACGAAATATACTATTACGTATTACAAGTTTTGTAATAAGTTCAAACATGCTCTTTGAAAATTGCTATTAGTCTGTAACTAAGACTTTACGTCTCATCATTTTGTTATTTATTACAATCATTCCAAAACCAGTAAGATTTGACGATATGTTTTTTGACGATACGAGTAATATTAAAATATGCAAAAAAAAACTTCATTATTAAATTATATTTACTTCCTTTATTCATTATTTTTAGTGATTCTAAGATAGAATATTTGTTATTGAAAATATACTTATTCAAAGGAGGTTTATCTACTATAATGATTACATGTTCAAATTTACAAAGTTAAAAATTCGAGTTGACTGGGCAAAATGGTTTTCTTTAAACACACGTCACTCGCGCAATGATTCGGGGTCAGTAATATTTGCATTACGTCTTCAAGTCTTGTTTATTCTGTCGACCAAAAACTGTACCAAAGGTTTATAAAGAATTTGCTTCACATTTTCATGGTAGAAATAATCCAGATGCTGAAACTCCTTGACTTCTTCATGGAAAAGCATTTTGGGTGTCTTCGGAAGCTCCTTGGCCAACCACTCAACATCCTACAAATGTAAAATTCATTCACTGTTGAACAATTTTATTATTTCATTTTTTCCAATATATAGTTATTACATTTTAAGATACATACAAAATAAAAACCCATTATTGTAAAGGGTAGCAAAAATTAAATCGGTGTGGTAAGAGACACAGACAGACAAAACCCTCATGTTTATGAATTGTAAAAAGAAAATAAAACCAATTTCGTTAATAACAGAATTACAAAACAAAGGCCACATACTGTTGAGTATCACAAAGCCTGTAGAAAGGTAATTCTTGAAGACAATTCATATTCTTCTTCTTTTGTAATTTCTATTTACACCATGTTGATTTTATTGAATTTAAAAAAATAGTAAACCTGTGTTATGCATGTTATTTTTGTGAGTAACAATGGTTTTAGAGCCCAAACGTTTTCTATTTTACATTACATTTGAGGTTATTGACTTGTTTATAATTTTTTTTTACCAAAAGAATGATTTTGTTTGTACCTCTTTTACAGAAAACTCGTCTACATCACTGGTAATGAGGAAGACTGGACATGTAACTTTTCTCAGATCATACGCTGGAGGTAACAATTTTTTGTAGTGCAACAGGTTTTCTTCATCTCCATAGTCAAACTGTTGGAATCTCGCTGGAAAAGACGATAAGAAAAAACTTATTATTTGTCTCTACAATTAATTATACAGCCATACCTTCGTCACTGCTAGTTAGTAAACTTTTAGGCGAATTCACAGTTGTTTTGAAAATATTATCTTTACATGATCATAAAAACAGGAAAATTATCTCCATCCATAACGGTTATACGCTATTGGTTTAAGGTTTGTAAAAGGACCTCAAAGTATTGTATTTTTTTGTTTTTTTTACAACTTCATAAATCTAATGTAAAATTAGAAGATTTCTGAAATTCAATAATACGAATTCCTAAAATGTTTGCAGCAATTATTTATTCCCTACATTAATGCCATGACAGGCTAAGTACTAATAAAGTACTTCTTTCTAGACTATGATTTGTAAAACCGAATAGTTAATTGTATGGCTTTGATTAAATTGCTCCTTTACTGAAGTCAGTTCGAATGGTAAAGATCTTCCTCAAATGTTTTTGTGAAACATAATATTGTTATGCAAACTAATGTTTTATTTTGTAAATTTGAAAAATGTGTAAATTGAAATTTCTACTGACCTTTTTCCCCAATTTGAAGAAAGTGTACAATATTCTTGATTGACGTTCCAGCAGGCATGTATTGAGTGGCTACGTAGGTGTCCTCCTGTAATATGTAAGTTAAAAGGGTAATTTATGGCTAATGTTATAAAAATTAAACGAAAAGTAAATGTAAAAATGTATGTTTTAAACCAAGATCCATACAAACAACATGACATGTATGTTCAGGTATGTGTTGAATTATTTTGACATATGTTACAATGTTGATATATCTAATCTTATCATATCAGACTCATAGCATGAATGTGAAAGGTTGAGTTGTTTTTAGTATCTAACATAGACACCAACGTTCAAATTAATATTTTGAGCCATATTTTTCAGGAATAGAATATATCACATATGGACATTTACTTGTTATAATTTTGAAATTTTCCTACAGTTCCACCCCAATGGCCTTCAAAGTAGCCATGTTTTAATTATCTTAAGAATGCAGTTTTAGAATTACCAAATAAGCTAACATAATAAGTAATCTATTTTTGTTAATAAAAGTAATTGCAAAACCATACCCACCCTGTGTATTGAGTCAGGAAACAGTCCTACAAGGCCAGACAACATCTTGCCACAAGCTTTGGTCGTCAAGTCATTTGTACATAAAGCTCTCAAGAAAAGCCCTTCCGCTTTGTTGTAGGATCGAACCTCGTACAAGTGCAGTGTGTTGTAGGTCAGCTAGAAGATATCAGTTACTTGCGTAAATACAAGGTAGGAATCTGTTCAATATCAATTAAATATTTGTTATCAGTACGAGCGGTTTGGCCCGTCCTACGTACGGGAATCGAGTAGTCTATTAAAACTGTATATGATTCAGAACTACAGCTAGTTTACAACTTGGTGGCTGATTCACACACACTACTTTCATTACAGCAGCCACCTTCCACTGCATAGGCCTACTATCACTTACCTACCTTATTTTACCACCTTGGCCACTGAAACCTCTAAAATTATCCTGGCCTCCCGTTCTCTTCTATCCCTTGCCATTTCTAAGGAAGATACCAGTCTGAAGATGTCTTTCATTAGTTGGTCTTTCAAGTGGTCTTCTACCTTGTAGTACTCCTTGGAATACACTTTTAAAAGTTGAAGTATCTTCTCTCCGCCATGTAAAGCCTGCACAGTCCATCCGAGATCCGAGTCTTTTGGTCTACTTTTGGAATGTATCCCTTTATCAAGTTTCAGGTTCATACAGCACTACTGGGATAGTTATGATATGGTATGAATCGATTTTGGTTTCTACTGACACCCTGCAGCTTACTGGTCAGTTTTCTGGAGACCTACTACACCGGTTGACATTTTCATGTGTACTGTATGCAGTCATACTTATATTCAAAAATCTAGAAAAGATGTATCAACACGTAAGCCACTTATACCTTAAAGGATTGAGCACTTATACTTAGACGGATTGCATTTATAACAAAACTTGATTATACGTTTAAAATGTTAAGTTCAAAATTACACAATCTCCTGATAACATAGATCTTTTACGGTAGGTAATAAACTGCATTTTAAAGTGAAATAGTGTGTAGGCAAACTCTGGATCAATAGTTTTGTATACAAACATCTTGTGACATAAACATTTCAATGACAGTTAGAAACCAGCTGTTAGTTAAACCACCAGTAAAACGACTTTAACCCGTCCGTCGGCTGCTAGACTTTTTGAAAATTAAAACTTAATTTCTAAAAAACTGGGACCCTAAACTAAAATTATGGCTTCGACATTCCCTAGTTCTCAAAATTATCCTTCTTTCAACACAAAAATCATGAAAATCCGTTAAGTGGTTGATTCAGAATCGTGAAATAAAAAAACCTAGTTTCGTTTTAATATTATAGATTATGATTTAATTGTCAATTAAGATGGAGGATGGTAGGTGCGTATTTTAACCCAAGGATGGGTGTAGAACGGAGTGATATGTCTTGTGTTACTTTGATACTGACTAATACTAGTTATTTCATTACCCGAGACAATGTATTAAAAACTCGATGATCAAGGATAGGTGGATCCGATCTCTAACCATCCTAAAGCTTCTTCTTAAGACACTTCTCTTAGGATCGACCTGGCGACCTTTTTATTTCTAGGTGAGTATTATAACCGCTCAGCTGCCCTGTTAAATCGATACAAATTTCTTCTGGTTTTCTAGTAATTACACCACTCATCCTTAGGAGGGTAAAGGATTGTCAGTTTTATGTGATTATTACAAGAAAATCCTAAATAATATGCATCCATACTCCTACGACACTATGATTATTTCTAAAAGAAAAACAGGACAGAGATCAGCTTGTGAAGGCTTTAGATAGGCAGGTATTTTGTGATTATCCAAAGAGCAATTTTAGAACAGACTTTACATTACATGTCTTGTTTCCAAAATATTACTGAAGAGAGTATTAGGCTGGTCTAGGGGTACAGCGCATGGCTTTGCTCCCTGAGGCCTCAGGTTCAAAATTCACCTATCGCCAATGGGTTTCATCTACTGATAATACCGCAATCTCATAGGGCTTGCGTGAATTGATTTGTAAAACGGTTCTGCGCTAGAGCCTATCGTCCTAGGATGTGAAGATGGGTTGAAGGTAAGTACAATTCGGTCTCCGAGGTTCCCTGGCTCAAATCCCGCCAGTCACCTAAGATTGTATCTAGCTTATCATACCGTGACCCGCTAGGCTGTTACAATAGTGAACAGTACACTAGTACAACAGCTAGGCCTGAAGTAATGCATGAAACTGTTCCAAGCTAGAACCTAGCGTCATAGTATGTGAAGGTGGTACTAACCAAAGAAAAAAACTTACCAGAGCAGTTGTAAGAGCTGAGTATATAGCAGGCTTTTGGAGGATGCTCATCCCGCTAGGCCTTGCTATTGGTGCTATGGCCACCATAGTGTCTATGCGGTCCATGTACTCTTTACCGTAACTATCAGCTAACACCCAGAACATGGTGGTCCCCATAGAGAAGCCTACGTAGCTGAGGGTCTGTCGTTGTGTCACGGAGAGTATGTGTACGATGGCTATTGAAAGGTCCTTCTCTCCCATCTCGTGGAAACTGTAAAGGAGTTAGAACTTTCAAACGGTATATGAATTGCTTAGAATTTCCACGAAGATTGAGCATCCACCATTGTGTAAGCTCAGGAATTGGAACTTTATAAATCTCTGTAAAAGAACATTTATTTTCAACCTAACCTAGAGTAAAGTATTAAAGATTGTCAAATATTGATATTAATTAAATGTGTATTTTCTTAAATAAAACTCCCAATTTAGAAATCAATACTTAAATATCTATTCAAAAGACTTTCTACTTCATCATGACCAAGTATGGTTGGATGAGTATGTAGAGGGTTTGATGCACCTATAGTGATGTCTTGCCTCAGTCTTAAGATTTTACCTGGGTTTTTGTTACAATCCCAACGATCATGTTTTTACCTGAAATCCCAAAACTCCTTACTCGATGGATTAAGTGTCGTGTGTTCCTTGGAGTATGTGTTTCCTCTTGCATTCATCAACCAAACATCAAAACCAGCGTCCGCCAACAAATAGGCTGAAATAGGTTGCAATTATATAAATATAATTTGTAACCTAATAACATTTAACAAGTGACATATTGCTTATTGCGTTCGAGTGCAGCATTGACTACAATATGCAAAGTATTTAATTATTTTCTACTGCTATCAGTAAATCTTTTTTCTAAGGATAAGGGGAGAACCAGCAACTTTAAGAATAAATGGTTCTTTCAGTCCTTTAGACCACAATTTTGTTCTGATATTGTGATAATGCTACTCGTAAATAAAAATATGTAAGAAAATTTTAAAAAAGAAATAATATGTCAAATCAATGAATAATCTTGTGATACATTATTGGGCTTATATTGTTAATTCAATACTATTTTGTACAGATTTGACGGTTATTTTTATTAGAAAATAATAATGTGAAAACAAACTGAACATTTGTTGTAAATATCTATGTTCTAAAAATTACCAATTGCATACTATTTTGTTGAATGGTTAGGTTAACTTTTATTTATTTCTATTTATTTCAATACCTACTCAAATCCCTAATGCGCAAATTACAGTAAATCATGATCAATACTTGATATTCACAGATTTCTACTGCTAGTTTACCAATTAACTGATTGTCAACTCGTAGTGAAGTACACAATAGTTCACCTTTTGTTCTTGCTATGATTGTAATTGCATTGGGTAATTAGCCTCTAACTGTGGCACTAACGTTGAACATACCCCATTAGAAAACTACATCAACATAAATCATAGTTTGTGAACATTTAAAGTTAAAGTATAAAAACGTTAGATTCACTTGGTTGATCAAACGAATGATTGTGAGTTATAGTTTTTAACTTAACTCAAGTATCAAGAAATGTTTGGGTCTCCTTATTCGCATCTGCGTTGACTGCCTTTTTTACTTAGATTTCCATTTTTATAGACAATTTTTCTATAGCCAAACCATTTTCTGAAAGAAGGGTTACGCTTGCTTTCTATTAGATTTTTTCTCCCAAAGACATGTTGCGTTCCCTGTGCCTTTAGGATGTAACATCCAAGACAACAATATAACTATTATATAATTATATACTCATAATCTGCTTACATTTCATAATTATTTCCTGCGTTGTGTTTTACCTTGAACTTTCATTGGCAACACATGCTCTTTACCTTTTGATGTTCGCCCTCCAAGTTCAATAGCCAAGCATTCATGAATATGTATTTAAAACTAGACTGCATACTACTACAAATCTAAACTCACCAAGTCCATCATCCATGGCCAGATATAGAGCAGACGACTGTAGTATCCCATGGGCCAGCAGTATAGGATGGCCATGGCCAAGACCTGGGCCCTGTCTACCGTGGGGTATCCGATGGTAGGTGAGCCTGTATCCGTCTTCTGTCTCTAGTTCATGTTTTTCTATCGGGTAACCCTTATCTTTTACATACTTTTCCTGAAAAAGCATTATAGATGTTTTAGGTGTATGTTTCTTTAATTTTCCCAAGTTGAAAAGTATATTATTATAACCTTAATTTTAATATTTTTTATTTCTAATCCATAGTAAGATAGATGTTCGTGCTCGGACTTGTCAATATTTCTTTTACTAAGGGTTGCCCTAAGCAATATTTTCCTTTATATTATACAAATTTTTCCATACACATGTTAAATGTACAAAAGGTAAGGTTTACAATGTAGTAAATTTATAAATTGCCCTGCTATTTATAAGAGTATATTTTTGAATAAATCTGAACAACTATTTAAACATAACTGTTTTAAATTGATAAGAAAACGTCTAGTTACATATCGTTTTTATTATACGTTCTAATTACTTTGTAGATAGAAAATATGTATGCCTACAGAGTAAAAAAATCATGTTTCATACTTACTGATTGTCGTACTTCAGTTCGTAGTAAAATAATACCTTTTTAATAAGAAGGTGTCATATTATTGAATTATGTTCAGTAAATTATATTGATTGGACTCTCATCACTAATACATGATGAAAATATTATTTAAACTTATAAAATTACACATATTTGATATAAAAAGCTCATAAACAAATTCGGCACAAGCTTGCATTGGACGTGAAATGCAACTGAAAGACCTTTTTATGTGCAAATGATTCCTTTATGCTGAAAATCTAATATACCAACTAAATTTATGTATTGTATTTCAAACTTCCGTTAAATTTAATGGTGAATATTGCTCTGATTGGAAATAAAATGCAACCATAAAAGATGTATTCTGTTTTAACAACGGTACCACACTATTTTTACCTAACTTTGATGAATACATTTATGAATAAATAGTTTTAAAAAGTATATTTTTACACTTATATGAGAGCCCTTATAACACTACACCACGAGGTAATAAGGATACAAAATCTTACGATAGGTTTGAAGGTGAATGATTGCAGGATACTGTTATGTGTTTTCCCAAACACAGAAGAAACAAGAACCAAAACTAGTACAACCTGCATCAAGAATGGCACAACAACACGGCACAAGCACAACACTGTGATGATACTCTCGCACAACTGTGCGCCACAGATAGGTAATTATTGAACACCTGTTTGAAAAATTGGGACCGTTTAGTTCCCATAGTTTATGAACATATTTCGGTGTATAAACACTTATGTTGGTGCATAACGGAATATTTTTAATGTGTCCAAACAATTAGTAAGTCTACGATTTGTTAGAGACAGAGAACTGTTAGATTTTTTATATAGAGCGATACTGCCACAAGTATTATTTTTTTAGAATTTATAGTTTTAAAGTGTAACATACGGCCTATTCTTGTAGAAAAGAAGGTTGGTATCGAGCTTACTAAACATAAAGGCCCTGAGAAAAATTTTAATTAAATTGTACACCCTTAAACACTCAAACTCAAAATGACCAACTATATTATTTTTAGTATTCTAAAACCTTCACATGACCAAGAGATTTCTTGTTATACGTTAGCGATTTAAAACACTATGTATATCCACCTTAGCATCTTGCTGACTCTGTGTAATGATACTAAAAATGTTCAAAGCACAAACAAGTATCCAAATGATGTCAGTGAAAACTTATCTAAAAGTAATAAAAGTTCGAAAATCACGACATCAAACAGAAACTAGTTCTACTTCGACTTTTCTAGTCGACATGCTAGTCCAACTTTATCAATTTAAACTTACAAAACCGCTTCTTAAATACATTTATTTTCCATTCATAAAAAGTAAGATTAGCTTATTGACTAGCTTAAAAGTTGAATCGTTATACTCAATTATATTTAAGCCTATAAATGTTTGTCAGACACAATTTTGGTAGTCTGTAAAAACTGTATATAAATAAGTTAGAAATAAAGATATTTCAAATGTGTTTGTGATCAAATAATGTCAAAACATTTTTAAAAACATAGTAATGGTCCTAGAAAATAATATATTACGTACTTTATTCTTGGTTTCCTTGAAACAATACCAAGGGCTTTCAAAGGGCTCGCACTTGTGCGATATTTATTTGTTGTTTAATTTATCAAATGCAATCATATAAAAATTGTCTGCAAGTACTTATTTACGGCAACCAGTAATTACAGTAGCTGGTACAACTTACATTCTAGATACAAATAAATAAGTTAATTTACAATATAGAGACCCTAACTATCTACAAAAAGTATAAACAACTAGCTGTAACCCGCGGGCTTTGCCCCGTTTAACTTCTTAATTTTCAAGATTATCTCGTTCGCATGGCTCAATCACGTCCTGGTTGAAGTTTGTTCGCTACGCTCACTCACCTTTAGGTTGGAGCTCGTTCGCTACGCTCACTCACCTTTAGGTTGAAGCTCGTTCGCTACGCTCACTCACCTTTAGGTTGGAGCTCGTTCGCTGCGCTCACTTGCCTTCAGGTTAGCTCGTTCGCTACGCTAACTCGCCTCCAGGTTGAAGTTCGTTCGCTACGCTCACTCACCTTTTGGTTGCAAATTAGCTGTTGTCATAAATGTAAAAGAAATAATAGTGCTGCACCCTGTTGGTAATTTTTGTAACTTTAATGCTATTGAACATCACAGAACAGAACCAACTTGTTTAATTGAAACAGCTGTTAAGATTCAATAATTTCATTTCTCATAAGGTTAACATGGGGAACTCCAGAGCCACTGGGGCGGAGCCCGAAAGGATTTTTGAAATAAGAATATGCCTATATGTTAATCGGGAATGTGAGCTATCATCATGCCAAATTTCAGCCCAATCCGACCAGTATTTTTCGCGTTCACTTGTCACAAACATACATCCATACATCCATACATCCATACATCCAAACTTTCTCATTTATAATATTAGTAGGATGTTCACATCAAGATTTCCAAGTCCATAGACAAATTTTAATCTATACAATTTTAGACTTTTACAATAGTTTTTAATTCAATCCTTGAAATTGGTAAGGTTTTCGAAACCCGTAAAATGATCGCCAAAATACATGATCACCCAAATTAAAATACCAAGAAACTGTATTTATCATGAATAAATTACAGCTTGCTAATTATACGATACATATTTACTACAGGAGTGTAATTTAATGCTCATAATCCACATCATCAAAGCGTTTATTGCTTCGTCATTAGGCCTACAGTTATGAAGCATAAAAATAACTGCATGCTTTGATATTGATTAAACATAATACGATATCGAAGGTGATAATTACATGTAATATCAAACATGTGACTAATAATATGACTGCATATTCGTGTATTATAATTACACGATAAGTAAGTGTTATTTTAGTGTATTCTTTTTCATACACAATTTGTGATTAGTATAAGATACATCGAGAAAGGTTGATTAGTCACGAAATGATTGTAAATAACATTTATTTTTATTGTTGGTAACAAATATGTTGAGTTTTAGAAGTACACGGAAGCTAGCACTACAAAGAAAATGCTAAGTTTGTTATATTTTAGTAAAATCAAATGTGTGTTGTTAAAATATGCATGCAGGCCCACCGAAGTTTACAATGTCGTGTTTAACGTGCCAATATTGTTGTACCCAACATTTTGGTTGTTATCCAAACTAAAGTCGGCCCTCTTGTTGTTATATCGCCATACCAATATCGCCTGCGAGCGTAACAAACACTTTGTAACTTGGTAACTTTTTTATTCAAGCAAAGCAAGTAACCAATCCCAGAAGTGTGTAGTGAAGCTTATTTAGTAGGTTCCAATTAGTTTCTAGAATTTGTTCTCAAATTTACTTTGAAATTGGTGCATATAAATACTATGTTGTGTACGTTGTATAGGTACAGCAATGCACTCGAACATGCAGGTCATGAAATACTATAGCCTTCATCTTATTCATATCGATAATCGACAATAAACCTGTAAATGAAAATGTTTAATGTAAGGTTTGAATGCGCTGTAAAGGTAAAAGGGTGCCAAAACCCAGTCTATGTTAATTTTAAGGAATGTGTATGTTTACCATCCTATAATTTTCGTTTCTAACAAATCAGTAATTTGTACAAGAAGTAATGAATGATTGTCTCTTATAGCCAATTATACTGTAAATATATTCTATTTATAAGTAATAATGTGGGAAAAGGTTAATTAGAAAGTTCAGACAGAAGGATTAAGCATCAAACAGTGAGAGACAGACAGTAGTCACGTACGGGAAGGTTTCGCCAGCCTGTTAGCGTCAACGTGATCTCTCTACAACAATGGAATCAGCTGTTATATAAACTCAATAGCAGAGTAATCAACAGATTTTCATTTCTCTTTATGTAAAAAAACTTTACTGTCCACCCAAAAAATAATCTTAAATTATTTCAAATTCTACGTCGTATAATTTTTTTGGTATGTTGATCATAAGTGGATGAAACAATCTCGAAGAAGCTTCATGTCTTGTGACACACTTGAGACGCTCATATTGTGCCACCCGCAGTGGAATACGCTGGCTCTGTCAAGTTATGATGATAAAAAGTGACACTATCACAAGCAATTTCACTTTGTATTTTATGTATATCTGGCTTTTACAGGTAAAGTATATTAGGCAGTTCCTTGTATGGCTGATATTGAACGTATGCATTTGTATCCATTTACAAAATAATACATCAAATAAACCATGAACTACAATATATACTCAGTATAAGAACTGTACTTAATTAAACGCTCTGCAAGACACTGTTTGAGCATGCTTGCTCGATCCAGTTTAAGTCCTTTGTGGGCCAACAACTAGAGTACATTGTATGTCTGGTCTTATTAGTTTCATCTCCATACGGGAAGAATGCGTTTACACCTAGTTAAAATGAATATTATGTATCAGTTTAGTTTACGAATTAAATTACCTGACATGTTGTAGTGTCCATAGGACTTTGTTTGGCGAATGAGTTTTAAACGAGGGAAGGGAATATTTGAGAATAACTTATTTCCATATACGAGGCTTGTCCGTATATTAAGGTCAAAAGCGACCAAGGAAGCTGGTTCAAATCTGAAACCAGCGCTGAGTTCATTATTTTAACCACTACTTGAGCTGTTTCCTACCCGTAAATTCTCGTCATAGTAGACGAAAATGATATGAAAATTCTACGCCCCCGCAGAGTATGAGCTCCTATTGGATTTATGTAGTGCAAGGAGTCAACCTGTTGAAGTTTATCACAACCTGACGGACATCAATGGAGTGTTTGGACGTAAAGAATGTGAGTAAGGGTGGAGGAAGTTAGATTATAATTACATTTGCACGATGTTTTGCACGTTGTAGGCCGGCTTCGGTGATTTATCAGTCTTCATTGAGGCCGCTGAGACCGAAGTTGGAGGTGTTTCGCCTCCGGAAAGAGAGATGCAGAACTGATAGGGAACGTCATTAAGACTATCAAGGACTACGGTATGTCCTAAGGGTCTTAAGCACGTCGATAAGGAAGCAAAGTTTACTCAAAATTATGCACAGACTTGATGGAAAACGATGAAACATCGTTGCTGCTGGTCACGTTGTGTAGATTGTTTACAGAATTCTGCGAGCTAAATCCCTTCTATTTTTACGATTAAATATTTTTCCTTACACACATCATATCAATAGCCATAGATATCTATGGTGTTGAGTTTTTTCCACATAAACCCAATCATTGAACGTGATTCATGCTTGGTGGTAGCATCGATTCCTCATCACATCATTTTTTGTTCTTATAACAAAACTAATTGGGAGTTTCAAACATTTATAATACATAGTGATCGCAGAATCTGTTAGTAATATTAAATAAAATAATAATTTAAAAAACACCTATCACCCGAATCACCCAATTTTCGTGCAGTTTTTTTTCTCCACCAGAGTGACATTTGTTGTCACTTACCACGTCATCAAATGACGTCACTCAGGCTCCATCTTTAAATACATTAGGATTTTGAATTCCCTTTTAGAACCATAGACATTTATTTACTGTCCATGTTTATTTCCAAATGTTATCACTTATTCATTTGAACCTTTTGATATTTACCACTTACAATACAAAGGGTCTGGGACAAACTTGGGCAATATTTACGACGTCATAAAAACATATCTTCAGT